CAGCCAGGATTTGCAGCGCCAGATGGAACTGTGTTCATGGTGCCGCCCGGCTTCCCTGAAGGTGCACCTCCGCTAGCATTTCCTCCAGGCACCGTTCCAGGTTTTCCCCTGGGTGGCCAATATCCTCTACCTACCATAACTGTCGTTCCGCCCCCAGCAGAAGGAGCGCCTGGAGGCGGCGTAGTTATACCTCCTGTTCCTATTCCTGGAGCCCCTCCCCCGTCCAAGGTTGAGGCAGAGCGCCCCGCGGAGGCAAAGGAGCCTCCCCCGGAACGCGTACAAATTGGGCCAAGTCCGGAAGCACCTCGTCCTCCAGTTCAGCAAGAGGTCCCACCTCAAGCAGATGTCCCGCCCCCAGTCGTCCAATTGCCGACGCCGATCCACGAGGGGCATCCGCAAGTCGTCATTCACAATCACCCCGGTAAACCCCCTGTGCTGGAGCAACCGCCTTCGGCGCCGGATATTGTTCGACTGACCCCCCATTCTCCTCAGCCCACACAGCTTGTTCGCATACAATCTCCTACACTTAGAACAGAGCCACCTCCGGTGGTTCGTCTTTCTCAGACACAGCCTCCACTGAGTGCATACGATGATGTAGCACATCCAGCGACACCTTCAGGGCAAACAATCATAAATATTGGAGATTCGGTTACTCGTCGAACAGAATCCGCACGACCCCCTTCCCCTCCCTCACGAGCGAGCACGCCGCGTTCTCATCGTCGCGCTTCGACCCCAATTCGCCGAGCCCCTGATGCCGCACAGCTTACTGTGTATCCGCCCCCGGCTGTTCCTACAACCCAATATGAGCCCGACGGAAGGACACCACCCGATAGATGGCGAGGACGGTCACCACACAGGTCCAGATCCCGGTCATCCCGTAGGTCCAGACCAGAATCACCACGCAGGTCCAGATCAAGGAGACGGCATCGGGCCTACAGTCGAGACGATCGCCGGCGGTCCCGGACCCCACGTCGTTCGCGCACCCGTTCTACATATATTTCGGGACGATCACCTCATCGTCCTATTGTGATTGAAGGGAGCACACGTCGTTCGAGATCTCGCTCTACACGACGATCTCGTTCGCGTTCGCGTTCGCCAAGAACTCGTGACAGGCTGGCAGATGCAGCACTTGCTGGGGCCACTGGTGGTGCAATTAGTCAATTAGCTGATACCTTGCGACACAGGGAACCTTCGCCCCATCGTCCTCGCTCCCGTTCTCGTTCCCATCGTTCCCGCATTTACTCTCGCTCTCGCTCTCCCGGTCATCGTCGTCGTCGATCGAGGTCTGCTTCCTTAGGCCGACGTCCTGTTGACTATGAACACAGTGTTCATGTAACTCCTGCACCTACTATAACACATCCACCTACCCCAAGTTATCTAGCACCGACTCCCTCTCCCCTAACCCATTCACTCTTCGAGAGTGTGCAACCCACCTCCGTGCCACCTACCCCCGTGACCGCTATCCCGCCACCCACCCAGACCATCCGGATAGAGGATGAACGTCGACCCGAAGTTATACATGTAGGGACTACACCCAGCGAACCTCACTACCTGGAGTCACGTCTCCCATCCCATGCCTCTCGTCGTCAAACTTCAGAGGAACGTGATGATGATCGCCGAAGTCAACGTCCAACGACATCCTACAGGGAAGCGCATGAAGCTGACTACGGTGACCGTCCGAGTCCCCGAGTGCGTAGGGTTCGAGATAGAAGTGAAGAGCGTCGACTCCACCGTTCCCCCAGCATAGGTGACGAGGAGGATGAAGAGGAACGTCGAAGACGGCATCGTCGTCCACAGCATCGTGAAGAGGAAGAGGGGGAGGAGGATGACGGCCGACGGCGTCGCCCCCTTCGGGAGGCTCGAGAGGCAGAAGAGGAGCATCTCCGCCGCCCACGTCGTCCTGTGCGGTACGAGGAGGAAGAAGCGGCAAGCTATCGCGGACCGGCTTTGGAACGTGAAGTAGGTCGTCCACCCGTAAGTGACGGTGGGATTGAGCCCTATGAAGCATTATCACCGTCCGTTCGTCCTGAAACCTTACGTCGCGCACAAATCGCACCTGAAGCGGAGAGAGGACCTTCTGGCGAAATCTCCCGCCCTTTGACTCGGTTAGCTCCTGAGTCTGTGGCTCCTGAAGACGAGATCAGCATTCCACCTGCCACACCTATAACTCGACCGGGAACAATTCGCTCAGTGGCTCGATCCTTAGAACGACCGGGCCCTGTGGAGGACCATAGGACGATATATGGACGGGATTACGCAGCACGTCCTGATATTGTCAGAGTGCGTTCTACTGGCCGCACTTCTCCTAGCATCATCCGCATTGCTTCACCAGCAGACCTCCGAGCCCCACCCTCGCAGGCCCCTCAAATACATATCCATACTACTGCGCCGTCGCCTTTTGCTTCTCCGGTACCTGGTCCTCTACCCGAGTCTCGTGTTGTAGCTCCTGCTCCCGCTCCAGCGCCTCCTGTCTCGCTGCCAGCTCCGGTTTCTGCAGAATATGTTCCCTCCGAAGAAGCATTACCATCCGCAACGGCTAGCAGAGTCACCCGGCCAGTCACCCAGCTTGATTTTGTGCCAACACCAACCTCCATAACCCCCCCACCAGTTCCTGTCATTAGGGCCCCCGAGCCAGTGGCCGATTTACAACCTGCCTCTGCCCCCGCTCCAGAAGTGATTAAAGTTCGATCATCCGGTCGTGAATCACCTGCCATCGTTAGAGTCGGATCACTCCCCGTCAGCAGAGTTACTGGGCCGCTAGCTCAGCGCGAATATGCCCCGGTGTCAGCACCCGTTTCAATACCAGCACCAGCACCAGCACCAGCCTCAGTCTCAGCACCATCACCCGTGCCAGCGTCAGTGTCGGCACCCGCACCAGCATCAGTATCATCACCAGTACCATCGTTAGTGTCGGCACCGGCCCCAGCAACAGCCCCAGCGTCAGTGTCATCACTAGCACCGCCGTCAGTATCAGTGCCACCCGCGGCACCCACAGCACCGCCAGTAAGCAGAGCTGCGGAGCCAGTAACCCGATTGGAACCTGCCTCCGCACCCGAGGTAATCAAAGTTAGATCATCTGGTCGTGAATCACCCATCGTTATCAGGGCCCCAGCGCCAGCATCCCCAGCGCCTCCGGTCAGCAGAGTTGCTGAGCCGGTAGCCCCACCGGAACCAGCACTTGCTCCCGAACTAATCAAAATTAAATCATCTGGCCGCGAGTCGCCCACCATCATCAGAGCTCCCGCCGCAACGCCCGCAGCACCCGCATTTAGCAGAGTTGCTGAGCCAACAGCTCCATCTGAGCCACCACTTGCACCCGAAGTTATCAAGGTTAGATCACTTGGCCGCGAATCACCCACCATTATCAGAGCCCCGTCATCCGCAGCACCGCCGGTGAGCAGAACTGCAGAGCCTGTAGCCCCATTGGAATCTGCATTGGTGCCCGAAGTAATCAGAGTTAGATCATCTGGCCGAGAATCACCTACCCTTATCAGAGTTGGATCTCGGATTGGACCCTCTCACGTTCATATCCATCACGATGGCGCAGCCCCTCCTAGGGTGACATTCCAAGAGCCGCATTTTAGGGAAGGGGTCTACACCAACATACCTCCTACTCCTTTTACCCGTCAAGCACCCGAATCACCTTCGAGGCTTGAACCGACTGTTTATGCTCCCAGCCAGGAGGATGAATCTGAGGGTACGATTCGGCGAGAGGCAAGCTCTGGCTTCGAACCTGAAACATCATCTCGGCTTGGTGATGAAGCAGACCTCTCAACAATCGCATCGCTAGTCGAAACCATCCCTCCAACCCATACGTCGCCTTCGGAGGTGGAGCAAAAACCCTCGATTCATGATTTACGCCGACTGACTGGTGAAGGCCCTTCAGCAGCACTCCCTGCCTCCCCCGCCACCCTAGCTACAGTTCTCCCTGATGTTTCTGAGGCCGCGGTTGAGCCTTCAGTAGGTGAACCGTTGATGGCGGGAGATCCAAGGGCACAACTGGAGATGCTTCGTCGTCAGTTGCAAGGAGAGGCGGACCGTCGGCTCCAGGAAGCTGAAGAGCAACAGCTATCGTTGGAACGCGAACGACAGGAGTTGTTTGATCGCGCAGAAGCTGCCCGCGCGGAAGCTGCTGCTGCTGCTGAACAACGGCGGCTCACTGCAGCTCGCGAGTGGGAAGAGGCTGAGCGTAAACGGCAGGAAGAATTTGAACAACACGAGGCAGAACGCCAGCTCGCCTTCGAGGAGGCCGAGGCAGCCCGCCACGCTGCTCACGAAGCCTGTCGCAAGCAGTTAATGGACGAAGCCGAGAGGCGACGAGCTACACAAGCTGAGGCTGCGCAGAAAGAGAGAGAGGAAACTGATCGTTTCGTGGAAGAGTCTATCAGACACTCCGCTCAAATCTCTGCAGACCTCGTCCGCAAGGCTAGTCTTGAAAGTGGGAGCGTCAAGAGTCTCGCCTCCGCCCTTCAGTCGTCGTTAGATGAAAGGAAAATAGCGGAGGAGGAAAGTCGTCGCCTCTCCTCAGCAGTATTGGAAGAGCGCGATAACGTGGTTGCGGAGCAGAGGGAGCGCATTCGGGAGCTAGAGGAAGAGCTTGAACGTTGCCTTGAAGAACGCGAAGCCGACCGCAGTGCTAGGCGCGCAGCTGAAGAGGCCCAATCTGACCAGGTACGGGCCGACTCCCAAGCTCAGCACCAGGAGTTACGTGGCAGGCTCGACGAAATCTCCGAGGCGCTCCAAGACCGAGCGAGTGACGAAGCTCGCCGGCGAGAACTGGAAGAAGAACGCCACGCTTCCAAAGAGCAACGTCGTACTGAGAAGGATGAGCGTATGCAGTCCCTCCACGATCTAGTCAACAGCATCATCACTGAGCGGGAGGAGGAGAAAAGGCGACAAGAAGAGGAGAAAGCTGCAGCTGCGGGAAGACCGAGTAAGTCCATGGATTTGCTGCCAGTGCGAAACTATGGCAAACTAAGAACAATTCGACAGCACTTGAAGAAAGCGTTATCGATTTGTTGCAAAGGCAGAAGGCAGAGCTACAGGAACTCTTGCGTGACATGTCTGACTGTGAGTGATTGAGCAATTATTCCTAGTATACCAAGCCTCATTTTGCGACCAGCCTGGCGGACTGAATCTGCCAGACAACACCAGGAGACCCTTGGTGCAGTCCGAGCTACAGCGAATGAACAAGTTCCCTTTAATGTCCAAGGCGTAAGTCGAGAATTCGCGGATTTTGATCCGTTACTGATTCATCTTTCGACGTAGTACCTCGATGACTTCAGCAAAGCACTCTCGGCGGAAGTTCGCATGTTACTGAAGGAGGTTGGCAAACTTCGCGAGGAGAAACGTGCCCTCCAACAGTGGGTATTAAATTCCTGCTAATTGGGGCCTATTTTCTCATATCTTTTACAGTGAGCTTGGGATGTTGTTGTGTATGAAAAGCAAGTATAGTCCAGGCGGAGAATTCGAACCAGATTGGTGGGTTACCACACTAGCTACGGTATCGTCTATGGTCCAAATGATTCGTTCCGTAGGAAACCACCAGGAGGAGCCACTTGTGGGGAGCCACAAGCCCCTCAGCAGCAAGAGACTACAATTTTAGTCTCTCCTGAGGAGCCACGCCCTTCAGCATGGCGCGATGTCCATCAGCGCAAAAAGTCGAAGAAGCAAAAGCAACGCGAGGCCGCCGCAGCTGAAGCTGCCGCCCTCGCTGCTGCTCCTCCAGCAGAGGATGCACATGCGTCCTGGATGTCATGGAAACGTAAGTAGTTCCTTTACAACCATTCTTCATAGAAGCTAAATTCGCGGTCGGGCAGCAAACCCTTCGTTGGCCCCGTCACCTGTTTCGACCGAGCATCAGCTTACCGTCATCCAAGAGGAGACTCAGGCTCCACCCGGATTATTTGGCCCTCGATCACCTCACTCTTCGTGGGGGGCTAATTGATTGTTATTCCTTTCTTTTTTTTATCTTCTGCCATTATGTCTGAGGTGCATCTTATTTTTGGCCAGTACTTGTTATGAATGCTCTTTGTCAATCTACTCACGATCTTTGTGCCATCTTTGGCATGTACAATACTTTTGTCCATATTACCTGCTCAATTCGACTCACTAGCACAGTGCTTTGTCAACGAAATACCAGGGTGCGATTCTTGTTTGTTGGTCACGGCAATGTCCGTACCGAGACATAGAGTCATTTTCGTCCAGAATCGTGTGGATGATCACACGCCTTCGTGTTCCCCGATCATCTCTGTCCACATTCCATCGAGCTAAATTCTTTCCCCCCTGCCCACACCGACTCTTCGGTATGTCCTCAGAGCAGCATCGTTCGGCCACTGTGCCACATCCTGTCCAGTCTACCTCTGGGCCAGCTACGACAGAGTTGCAGAATGCAAAGGTCGCATCCAACAAACCGTCGAAGAAGGACAAGAAAGGCGCCAGCGATTCACCAAAGGCACCGTTGGAAGTGAGCAAAGAATATGTTGTATTTTTGTGACGATTTCTTAACACGTCTCAGCTGGATCCGCTGCCAGATTACATACCCCATCGCATAAAAATGTGGAACGAGCTCAAAGCCGAATACGAAGCGTTTGTACGAAGTGAGTGTATTAAATAACTGGACTGTGTAAGACACAACGTCCAACAACTGTTCCCGAAGGGCAACCACGTCAACTAATCGAAATCACATTGCCCGATGGAAGCAAAAGATCTGGCACCAGCTGGGAAACCAGTCCGATGGCCATTGCGAAGGAAATATCGCCCAGCCTTGCACAAAGAATTGTCATCTCCAAGGTTTGGCTCATTTATCGCCCATCACATCGTTCACTCTTACGTGTAGACTGGCAGGTTAACGGTGAACTGTGGGATCTTGAAAGACCACTCGAGTGTTCTGTCACTTTGGAATTCCTAGATTTCAACCACCCTGAAGGCAAACGCGTATTCTGGCATTCTTCTGCTCACGTTATGGGTGAAGCTGCTGAGCGACATTACGGTTGTCACCTCTGCATTGGGCCGCCCACATCTGATGGTTTCTATTATGAGATGGCAATTGCAGATAGGTATGGCCACCATTCCGATCCAACCTTCTAATTTATCATTTGGCATCAGATCGATATCACCGAATGACTTCCCTGCGCTTGAGACTATCGTCAGGAGTGCAGTGAACGAAAAGCAACCATTCGAACGTCTGGTTGTCTCGAAAGAGGGACTTTTGGAGATGTTCGCCGTAAGCTGGAGACTGCTGGTGTATCAAAGGATGATGCGTTCCTTATCCCGGTTCCTGTTTCACTGCACAGTACAACAAGTACAAGGTACATCTCATCAAGAACAAGATTCCAGATGGCACCTCGACGACAGTCTACCGATGTGGACCAATGATCGACCTATGTCTCGGCCCCCATATCCCAACAACAGGAAAGATAAAAGCAATGATGATCACGAAAGTAGGCTAATCCACTATGTTTCCTGTTTGTTCTAGAAAGTACCGACTAATGACGAACTGTCAGAATTCATCGTCTTATTTCCTGGGAGATGCCGCAAACGACTCATTGCAACGGTTATGGGGTATCTCGTTTCCTGAAACGAAACAACTCACAGAATACAAGGAATTTTTGGCTGAAGCTGCGAAACGGGATCATCGGAAGATTGGGAAAGTATGTCGGGGCGGTAACACATAGCCATGGCCACGAACGCTACGAACTCATTGCTTCTAGGACCAAGAACTCTTCTTCTTCCATGAGCTCAGTCCTGGGAGTTGCTTTTTCTTGCCTCACGGCACCCGAATATACAATACCCTGCTCGACTTAATCAGAGTGCGTTTGGAATATCTATAACTAGCACCCTTTTTATCTTCATGATTTTCCAAGTCCGAGTACCGAAAGCGAGGATACTCCGAGGGTATGGACGTGGTCGCTTCACGCCTGTCGAGATGCTCACGATATCTGTCATCAAGTGATTTCGCCAAATATCTACAACCATAAGCTGTGGGAGACTTCAGGTCACTGGCAAAACTACAAGGAAGACATGTTCACGCTTGACGTTGAGAAGGAGGTCTTCGCGCTTAAACCCATGAATTGTCCTGGCCACGCTCTCATCTTTGACTCCAGAGATCGAAGTTATCGCGAGTTACCTATCCGGATGGCTGAGTTTGGTGTCCTCCATCGGAACGAGGCCAGTGGCGCCCTATCGGGGTTATCTCGAGTACGAAGGTTCCAACAAGATGACACTCATGTGTTCTGTATGCAATCTCAGGTATGCCATTACCACTCTCCTCGCTCCGTTGGTATTCGGCTGATTAAATACCCCAATTGGTCAGATAGAGCAGGAGATAGATGACATTTTCGACTTTTTGAAGAATGTGTATGGATTATTCGGCTTTGAGTTTGGGCTCAAGCTATCAACCCGTCCGGAGAAATTCCTCGGGGAGATTGACACCTGGGACGAAGCAGAACGAGTGCGTTTAATCACCCATTCCCACTCATGCCATCTAATCCCCGAGTCATTTATTTGCCGCCCCACGACTAGCAACTCCGAAATACTTTGGAACGGTTTCAACCCGGCAAATGGGACCTCAATCCCGGCGATGGTGCTTTCTATGGTCCTAAGATTGATATTACCATTACCGACGCTCTTAAGAGGCCCCATCAATGTGCGACGATTCAGTTGGACTTCCAACTGCCTGAACGTTTTAATCTGAAGTACCGGGGACCGGATGATGATGAGAATGCTGTCAATCGACCTGTGATGATCCATCGAGCTATCTTGGGGAGTTTGGAGAGATTCATATCCATTGCCACAGAGCACTTCGGGGGGAAATGGTGCGTAGTAGATGATTAGGTCTGCTGAATTTGTCTATTATCCTTTTTTTGCTGCAATTATTCAGGCCATTCTGGTTGTCCCCCCGCCAAGTCTTGGTCATCCCAATTGCTGCTCCTTATGTGGGTGCTCTTCTTTTCGTCTCCGCTAATGCTTGGCTGTGGCTTCTGACATCCAAAATTCAGAATGACTATGCATCTCACGTCCAGCAGAGACTTTGGAATGCAGGGCTATTTGCTGATGTCGATAACGGTACGGAGACAATCAACAAGAAGATCCGGAATGGAGAAATTGGACAGTATAATTTCATTCTTGGTACGTGCTGTCTAATTCACCAAAAGCGCAACTCAAATGAATACTCTTCAGTGGTTGGTGAGGCCGAATTCTCCACCCAAAGCGTGAACGTGCGGAATCGAGACGATGTTGGGCTTAAAGGCCGTGCAGAGACAATCAAACTTGACGATATAGTAGGATGCCTCGTCAAGCTCAAGGAAGAGCGTAGATTGCAGAACAGAATATAAATCATAGAAGATGTGTAGCACCGTATGTTACACTCGCACAATGTGTTTTGATTCATGTGTTGCGGAGAGAAAGAAAATGATCTTTATGGAACGCCAAGTTGTGCTTTCTGGAATAGGGAACATCCATCAACCAGAGATCGGAAGGAGGAAACGGACATGGTGGGGGCTCACTAATGCTTCTATAGTTGCCCTTTGATCCGGTGGGAGCGTCTGGATTTGGGCGGGACTCAAGCTGAGTACTTGCATGAGCATGCCCTGGGAGTGCATGAGTATCTGGAGCGGATAATGCACGTTGAAATTACCCTTTTCGTTTCATCTAATCCTCCTAGGGCTGAGGGGCCACCCACAGGTGCAGCAGGTGCTGGTACAGGAGCAGCGGGGGCACCATAGTATTGGGCAACGTTCTGCACGGGATGTGCAGGTGGAAAGGAAGGTATTTGCATTTGCGATGGTGCAGGGGGAGGGACAGGTTGAGGTGGTGCTGAGGCGTGGTGAAGTTGGGAAGTATAAGGTTGTGCTGGTGGGTATTGTGATGGTGGGATGGGTGCAGGAGGTGGAACAGGTGCAGTGTGTTGAGATTTGGAGGCTGAGGCTGCCTGAGCTTGAGATGCTGCTGCTGCGCTGGCACTTAGCATTCGCTTATGGACAAAAATAATAGATTTTAGATTTTGAAGAACTATCGAGGAATGATGGCGAGACTGACTTGAAGGACTGAGGAGTCAACTATTTTGTTCATTAGCATTGCTTGGAAGAGAGCATAAGCGAGTTGAGGCTGTGTTTGAAGCAACTTCCGAGCGTCTTCTGGATGGTTGATGACGAATATCTGTCATTCCGGACATGAGAGGTTACATGCGCAAAAAAAGAAGCCCCACTTTCATGTGTCCCATGACCTCCATCAGCTGAGCTGGACGTACTGTCCCAAGAACGTTACTTATGACATCGAGTGGAGTGAGTCCAGGAGGGACAGCGACGCCTGGAGGTATGGAAAGAACAGATGATTTTGAGTCACCGCTGTCAAGTTCTCCTCGAAAGGTCGTCTTTCCTTCCAGTGATGGGTCTGAGTCTGCAAGGTCTATGCGCAGCGGGCGACCCTTGACTTCTGTTCCGTTCAGGTTACGCACGGCTGATGCTGCGGTCTCATGATCTAAGACGCACCAGAAAACGTTCAGACGATGAGTAGTTAGTTTGGACCAAGATAATACGCACCATAAAATTCACAGAATCCAAAACCCTTTGGCTTTCCGGATTCGCGATCGAACACTAATCTGGTGGTTTGAAATGAAGGTGAATGGCAGACTGAGGTCTCAGTGACCGCTCACCTGAAGCCGGCCACTGGCCCGACAGCAGAAAATACGTCAATTAGTTGCTCCTACGAGCAATCCTCAGCATCAGCAACGGTGGTAACACCGCACCCCAGCAGGATTTGCTTACTTCGGTCATGTCGTAGGGCACATTGCCCACTAATGAGATGTGCAGCAATTAGTACGCCAATATTTATCTGCCTCCGAACGGTCCAGAATATTCACCGAACACAACGCGACTCATCGACTTGTCCAGGATGGGTTTGACGTGAGGGGATGCAAAAGGAGTTTGCCGAGCGCTTGTTCGCTTGCTGTATTTAGTTTCTAGTCTGTATTTAGGTCCAAAGTGAGCGCCTTTAGAACGGTACAGATAATAGTCATATATTCACAATAAGTAATCTAGGGTGCACCTAATGCCAAAGGTACTACAGAAACCCAAAGGATACCTAACTCCCTGCGCCCCAATGGAGTGTGTCAAGCGTGCGGATGAAGGAACAAAGATGTGACCCACAAACATCCGAAAATACACCGTCTGATTTCATCCAACTAGTGATGGGAATGTCTGAAGTGTAGGACACCAACTAACTCGAAATAGAACTCGAAATAGAGATTGAACCGCACAACCTTGAATGTCGGAGCATTGACTAGAGAAAGCGGAGACGGCGCTTGCGGAAAAATGGTAAGAATGGCCCAGAATAGTCGTAGTGTGGTGGATGAAGACAACATCTAAGACCAGTCCTTATTTTCCGGCTGTTTAAAGGCATAAGAAAGAGTTAAACTTGTGAAGCTCGTGCGTGTAATCTCATTTCGATCTAACTAAGAAAATATCCGGGATGAACCTCTCAAGATCAAGCATAAGTTGGAGCACCGTTCTCGCCTAGATTAGTAGCTAGAGAAATGAGCACTTTGAGGTGGCAGCTTAGTGAGCTTCGGGAAACTTGCATAATGCACACTAAATAGCATAAAAATGCAAGCCAAGTTCAAACGAGGTTTCCCTGAGCATAGGTGTCCGTTCACAAAAATAACACTGAAAGGCTCGAGGAGTCGGATGAACGTTGGCAAGGCGTTGTGTCAGCTCAGGGGATCACTCGTGAAATGAGTAACGTGCAGAACGAGTTTTGCAACCGCCACCACCATTCCTTCCCGTCCCTGTCACATCACACAGCATCCTCAGCTCTCCCCCAACAACACCGTCACCCACCAACTATCGGTGGTTCGTACAAGACCAGACGCAGGGCGATAACCGCTTCAAGACCCCTTGTGGGACTTGTACTGTGAATGGCATCGTCCGCCGAGCGAGACCCACATCCTCGACAACCCAAAGCGGGACCTCGAGCTCTCGATCTTTCTGACTACGCTTCCTTCGCCCCTTCGGCCCCAGTGAGGATATTACCTGTCAATCCCATCCGCAAACCTGTCAAGTTCTCCCTTTCCACTGGCCAAAATAAAACCGAAATTAACATCAATGGCGCCTCCCCTCCCAAACCTCGCTCCGTAGTAAACGGTCATTTTGAGCCTCAAAGTTCGTTATTATCTGCTTTTGAGAGTCTTCCCCATGGCTCCCAGAGTGTCCAGGATGCCTTTGATGTCAATGCTGGGCTGTATGCACCCTCCAGTGGTTCTCGGGAGCCCACATCGGGGTATGGTAAAACCATTGAGAACTCCATAGCGTATCCGACCCCCGATACACCTTCTAGTTCCTCGGCGATCAGTCCCAGGCATGCTGCCAATGTCTCCAATGACACCGTTGATGCGAGTTCGCGTAAACAAGCAGCTTCATCTTCTGTCTCCTTCAAGGGTAATGTCTTCACCCCTCCACCTCCCTCCGAATCCCCGCCTCCCCCGCCACCACCTCCTCCCTCTGAATCTCACTTCTCCTCGCCCCGTCTTCAAGCCACCATCATTACCCCTAGTCAATCTCGCCACCCCACACCTGAACTTTTCATTACCACCGTCACTCGTGAACCGACCCCTCCTCCATATGAGTCCGTGAAGCTAAAACCTTCATATCGTGTCATTTGGGACCCCGCACTGCATGCCAGGACCTCCAAGGACAAAGAGAGAAAGCCCGTCATTCGCCAAAATGGTGTCCTCGAAGGCGAACCGCCAGTCGTGGTGCGCGATCCACGCGTCAAGAACACGGACGGATGTTTTCCCGGTCGAGGTAACAGGAAGCATCGCATTGAACTCTATCAATTTCCTGAGTATAAGGTAAGCGACGCGCTGCCATTCTCCAAGAAGCTGCCAACTTTTAATTCATCATCCGCAGTGGGACAAAAACTCAACTGGGCCTCCACCCCCACCTCCTCCACGCGCTATCTTCGTTAGAGGCCTTTCACACCTTATGCCTACCACTCAGATCCGACAACAATTCAGCGCGTTTGGTCGGATAGATGAGCTTCAGGTTGAGTATGACCCATCGACCGTTCAACCGCTGGGTATGTGCTGGATCAAGTACGAAGGCGATGATCAGGAGAACGGCCTTGGCCAACTTGCTGCCCAGAGTGCTGTCAAGAAGCTCAACGGGCAGCGGATCGGTTGGGGTCAAGTTTGGACGGAAGTCCAGGTCGAAATGGATGGGCAACGCAAGAAATGTAAGGCTGCCGTCGCTGCAGAAATTGAGCGGAGGAAAAGGGAAAAACAGAGGAGCAAGGAGCCGTTGCAAGCTCAGTCGTCGCACCCAGGGTCGGCATCTCAACCTTCATCCACGCCAATACCTCCACCCTCGGCTACTCCAATATCCACTAAACCTCTCCATTCATCCGCACTTCCCAGACCCGCCATACCACCGAAACCTGTCGATGATCGTTCCTCCACACTCCAACCAACTCGAATGGCACCTCCGATCCCATCCACCCATCCAGTTCGGCCCCCATCTCCCCCTCCTCCATTACACCCCTCCTTACCCCCACGGCCTATACCTCCATCCACTGAGCCAATTGCGAGTACAAGCATGCGCTCACAGCGAAATCCTTGGCATGTGCGCGAGCCCTCTCCAGAGCACCGAACGCAGCGCCCCTCCTCGCGGGATCAACCCTCCTGGGAACGACCAGCCTGGGAGCCATCAATGGGCCACCGACCCCCATGGGATCGCCCAGCCTGGGATCGAACTCCTCGGGAACGACCTCTCTGGGATCGCCCTGACGCTTGGGACCGTCAACGTTGGGACGACCCTCGACATTACCGGCCAATTTCCCCCCTTGACCGATCCCCTTCCCGTTCTTCCATGCGTTCACGTTCACGTTCACGTTCACGCTCCCGTTCACGCTCCCGTTCCCGTTCTCGTTCCCCAACACGTCCCTACCACAGACCGCATGATTATGGCCCCCCTTCCTACATGCGAAGGGATGCTCCTGCTCGCTACGATTCCTGGACCCCTGGCGCAGAAGCAAATGTCTATAGCAGAATAACGCGTCTGCTTCAGGAGAATGGGTACGAATATATACACATAGTGAGGAATTCCCTACCGCGCTCTGCTCATGTCACACAATCGGACATCCAACATCACTTCGAAAGCTTCAACATTCACCCTGATAAGGCAAGCCAGCTATCATAATTTGGCTTGGTCTGTGTTCTGAGCATTCATCTTCCTTAGGTATTGGTAGATGTGTCTGGTTGGTATATAACGTTTGCTTCGGATTCTGGGGCGCGACGTGCCCAGAAAGTTATGGAGAATAGAAAGCTCCTCCACTACCCCGTTAATCTCGACGTTCGCAGACCCCCTCCGACCCACACAACATCTCATCCTCCCTCCCTTCCAGCTAAACCGGTCTTCGACTTGGTCCCGAAGAATCCGGCGATTCAAGCCCGTGACATGATACTCACAGAGCTCAAAGCACTTCTCCGGAAGGACGTACGGGAACGGCTTATCCGTGCTCGAATCGTACGGCATATCGAAGAGCAGAGGGTCGAAAAACGTGCAGCCAGCATCTCTCCTTCGAAACTCAAGGTAGCCGTTGCATCAACGCCTTCAGACACCCCAAAACTTCTTGCCCCATTGAGATTCACCAAGAAACCTGGTGCTGCCACGAAAAAGCGTACGATTCACCAAGTCGTAGAGGATGAAGCGCACCCCGAGCCTAGGCCTTCTACGGCTGATCCTGATCCTTTCGAATCCCGGCCTGCATCTATAACCCCTGAGGCACCTCCTGAAATTGAGAAATCTGCCAAAAAGGCGAAACGCGCCAAGATTATGCATGATGTGGAGGTGGAATCGGAAGACGGAGTACCATTGGCAATGGTACAAGAACGGGCCTTGCAGCCTCCCCTGGATGAAGCCCGTAAACGTCCAGCGGAGGACGCAATTGAACCGCCAAAACGCGGGCGAAAGAAACGGAAAGTTAAAGTGGAAGGCCCTGCTCCTGAAGAAATGGTCGATGTCCCGACTATTATTCCTGCTTCCGAAGTCGAGATACCCGCCACTGTGGATATTCCTGTGCCTGACATCGTCGAGGAGGTTGTGGAGGAGCCGAAGCCAGCCGTTGTCATAACCAAACCGGCGAAGCCCAGAGGCAGACAGAAGAAGCCGCCGCCGTCGCCCAAAGTTCCTATGCGGAAAGCGCCTCCTCCAGATCCGTTTGAGGCTGGCCTCGTTCATCCCTCTGACGATGAAGATGTGTGGTTTCTTCACCAGGCTTTGTTACGACGGAAGGAGGGTAAACTTACTGAAGAGCCGATTGAGGACGAGAAGCCCGCCAAGAAGCGTCATCCCGCCATTCGAGTTCATGTGACAGGATCCGCGAGAACGGAAGGGTATTATAAGATACCCGATGCCGTTAAGTCCATTTATGTCGCGTCTCGCAACAGGGCGACAGTGGCAGTTGATGAAGCCGCAAACTCGAAGATCGTTCAGCCTGTGGGCGCTTCTTCGCGTTCGACCCGCATCGACTCCCGCAAGTTGGCGAGAGGGATGGAACAAGCGAACAAGTATCTCAATCTAAATGCCGACGCGCAAGAGCAGTCTACACTTAAGCTCAAGTTCAATCAGCTTAAGACTCGGAAGAAACAACTCAAGTTTTCGCGTAGTCCAATTCATGATTGGGGCTTATATGCTATGGAACCGATCTCTCAAGGGGAGATGGTTATTGAATATGTTGGGGAACTTATTCGCCAGCAGGTTGCCGATAAACGCGAGAAATACTACGAGCGCATGGGTATTGGGAGCAGTTATCTATTCCGAGTCGATGACGATGCTGTCGTGGATGCTACAAAAAAGGGCAACTTAGGGTAGGTTCAAACCAGCCTTCCTGACAAATGGTTCATCACTAACGCTATTAATGATTGCGTCGCTATTCAGACGATTGATTAATCACTGTTGTACACCTAATTGTACAGCTAAAATTATCACGATCAATGGCGAGAAGAAGATTGTTATATATGCCAAGACGAACATAGAGCCAGGAGACGAAATCACTTACGGTGAGGCTTCGCACTGCATGGTTTTAATTCGACCATACGCTCATCTGTTCCCTGTTATTATAGATTATCATTTCCCCATTGAACAAGAAAAGGTGAGGATTGACTTTTCTGTCAACTGTGGCTCGTCGGCTTGACTTCGATATCTCCCCTCTTAGATTGTTTGCTTATGCGGTTCTTCCAAGTGCCGTGGTTATCTCAACTAGGTCGACCAGCATGTGTTGATCGATTTGTGATCTGTTTCCAATAATTACTGTAATTTGCGAATCGATAACTTATTCGCCATTACAATTTTTCTACCAAGCGCATAATTGGTACCCTATTGGAATCATATATTATCTTAACGCTACAAACGAGTGACGTGGAAATGGGCATTCTTTGATTAGAATTTGAATCTGTGTGGTAGGTGTCAATGGAACGCAAAGTTATCACTGAATGAACTCACCCTCCGGCACGACCCATGACATTACTGGAGTCATATTTCTTTTTGATGGCCCTCAAAGTATCCAGATTGCTCCCATACATTCTTTCGAGTGGCGTATCGGCGAGACAATAGTTCGGGTAGGAAGCAAGTGAATCAAGATCCTGACCTTCCCCCTTGGCGACTGCAGCGATGGAGGAGGCGCTAGCTTTCATCGCATTAATGAGAGTACTGTCCGAGATGCTGGGCGGCCATTCAAAGTAGAGAAGCAAAGGAGAGGCGAATTTGTCGTGTGGGTATGCACTAGAGGCTGCATGCCGAGTGATGGTACGTAGGAAAGGTTCGACATCGTAAGAAACGGAGATGCCTGCTGCCAGAAGACTTTGCAAGCCCCATAGCTGTCATAGTGAAAAAGGGAGGATCAATGCATACAAAATTAGAGGCAATTAGAGCAACCACTTGCCTTGGCCTCTGAGACGATCTTGTTCAGAACCGCGGGCGTGATATTGGCCAATGGTACTGTGTGGAATGCGCCCCTGCGCGTGAGCCGAGAATGAAGATGTGATGAGTCTTGGAAGCCTAATTCAGATAATTGAGTACGAACACTTACCGTAAATTTGCCGTGACATTGCTGGGAGCTTCTTTGACGAAATCCAAGAAGTCCTTCGTCCCAACCGTACTTGAAAGATGAGGGATGTTGAAAAAATTATCGAAGAGTTTAGACGGAGGTTGAGGACGATTGTAGAATACAAGCAGTGGCATCACTTGAACTCCTCCAGCCACAGTGTAAGCGGCGAGGATGTTGGCGTTCGGATCTGTATTCGAAGCGATGAAGGCGTAGACAGCATCTACTGTCCTCTCCCAAACCAAACCACTGTACATAATCACGCCAGCCTGACAGTAGATGAATGCTGGATACAGGCGATATAATATAAGACAACACACCCAGACTTGCGTTTGAGGGAATGTCCTCAAAGTAAACCGTGTCACAATGCCCTGCCGAACAGTCAACAATATGATGTCGCTCATGAAACTCAAAGGTCTCACAAAATTGTTTAGGCCGCCCTATCAGCCGACGGTATTGTTGGCAAAGTTTAGACGGTTCGGGTGGAGATGGACAGTGCCATACCGCTCACTTTTAAACCGAAAAACAAGTCAGGATAACGATCATCTCTCGCCTCGACTACAGTGCCGTTCGGTAAGACAAGCTCAAATGCCACGACAGTATCAACAGTGAGACCATAAAGATTGGTCAACCAGGAGTAACCTTCAGGGCGCGCCCATTCAGCTGAAAGTACAGCGAAAGACATGGATCATACCTCCACCAAGTGTCAAACCTGCAACACCAACGCCGGACGCCCGACCTCCCACTACGTTCACCCCATGAGGAGCAAGAGCAGCATACACATCATCCCAGATGACACCGGTTTGGATGTCGGCTGTGCCCTCCTGCACGCGATAGTTGACATTGTTAAACCGAGTCATGACGATCAAAACACCCGGAGTCGAGCTGAACCCAGGATTGGACGAATGACCACCTCCTTTGACCTATTATATAGCAAATAACGCGTGAAGCCGTGTTTAGCGATTGACAAGCTTGAGACTCAGGAATGGAACTGACTCCGAAGGGCGTTGTCGAGTTCGAGAGAATCTCCATCTGTGAATTAACAAGATAATTAATCAAGACTAGATAATGTCCTTAAACTGAGAACACACGATTTTAGCAACATCATCCACAGCGCCAGGTTCAACAGAACATTCAGAATTCTGTGAACTCGAAGGCATGTAGTGATAGTTATCCGTGATGAAAGCTATATCAGGAAAGTAGTACACACTCGATGCGCTCGAGATTGCTTCTTCAATAGCAGCGCAAGTAGGATGTTTGGGCAGAAATCGAGCATCAGGTTGGGAACGGTGTCTGGTGTTCGCGGCTTGGTGTACCCGCGCATAAGTAGCAGTGAGGATAAAAGAAGGGAAGAGGAGGAAAGAGAGACTAAGAAGCATGTCAAGGTCACCGTTCTCGAGCACTGTGACGAATGAAGCGGGACTGTAAAAGGAGCGAAAGAAACTTTAGATGGAAAGGGTTGACAGCTGAACCCTAAGAATAGAATACAAGCGGAAATAGAAATAAATTTAAAAAAATGGCGTGGTTCAAGTGAAAAGTTGATAAGATACCATTAACCAAAATCCGAAGCACAAACGGCATCCCTCTGAATCTTTGGGAATCGAGGGGCTTCAAGCCGCAGCCTTCACCCTCTGTTCTTCGCAAAGGGAACCGTATAATATCTGTCAAGAAGTCCGGATATCTCCGGATCACTAGCATTTTCCGCATCAAGTAACAATGATTAATTGCTTAACAGGCCTCTGCTTCCGGAAGAAAGAGCATTGAGATTGAACACCAGGTACCAACACACAACATCACTAAGAACTAAGAATGTCCTGGTTGTCTAGGATCATCCCTTCTCATATGCTAGGATTGTCTGCAACAACATCTGCGCATGCCACTAGAAGCCCCAGCATTCGCCATTTCTTATGTTTTTCCTTCTTTTCTTGTTTTCTTGTTTTCTTTCTTTCTTTTTTTTTTTTTTGCTCTTGTAACAAATTGCGCGACACACCCAAAGACTTGCGAATGGGGCATGACTTGATTCAAGAAATCGAGCATGTGACACAGTGCTGTGCAGAGTGCACTCCAGTATTGCAGGGACCAACAAGTTGCATTCAGTGAAATATGAATACCTTCGCGTCTGCTGGGCGTAGCAGCCCTAACTCGTCACTCCCCCTATATAAGCTTAGCATTGAGCTTGTCTCCATGATTCTTACCTCCTGCTGTGACACCGGTATCCCACTCACGCTGTACAATTGGAAGAGGCTGCTGAGGTCGCTCTTGGCTATCACATCGGTATCCATTGGGCTCCGCAATGCGGCAATTGAAACTCCTGCGTTATGGCTTCAGGTCTTCATCATGCCAGGCCGCATTGATAAAGCGAGTTGCCTCAATTCGCTCAATATCGCCAAGCTGTTTTTTCAGCGTGCAAAGAAGAGGAAGACGACCATTTTTATTTGCTTCCCACCCCCCTTCCCGATGGACCAGATCCCTGTGTCCACATTCCAGGAAGTTATTGGTCTTGCGTTAGAGACATGCGAGGATTTCACTCTACTCATCTCACGACAAGAATGCATGAACGTTATTTTCCCTCTTCCGGGAAAGCTTCGGAATTTGAAGAAGCTGAAGGTGTTTGGTGTTGACTACTGCTGGGACGGTCATCTCTTTAAAGAGGATGATCCTGAGGTTCGGCTTGACACATTGGAAATCCAAACACCAATCAGTCGACTGAGCGCTCTTTCAGAGTTCAACAAGTCTATGGCATCTTCGATCCGCACTTGCACGCTGGATGGCATGGTAGACTCCTTGGATGAGTGTACCGAATTCTTCAATAACGCCGTCAATATTAAACACTTGGAATTAGGGTATGGATTTTTGGTCACATCCCATCGCCTATCCGTCGCCCTCGCAGCCAGTTCCCCTGTGACACTACCAGCACTCACCAGCGTCAAACTTGGCTCCTCTTCCCACAAGTATTTCTTTGAACGTTTATCTTTCCCTTCGCTTCGCCACCTCTCTCTTCGAGCAGATTGCCACCTTTCTCTCGACCAGATATCGCACCCACCGCAATGGTCACCAAATGGAGATGAACCACCTCTCTGCACACTCTCCGTATCAGCCAGTACATTGCTGAGCGCCATCCCTGCCATCGCAATGCTCATCGTATGCATGGATGTTGTCATGTTAGAGTGCCAGACAACCCACGAGACGCTCAACAAATTACTTGATTTTATTGGAAGCTTCTCCGTTCCACGTGACAGCGAAGGGGGGTGGGGAGCTTTCGAACGACTGTCGTACTTCCGTATCAATTATGATGGCCCGCCGCTTAGCGACGCTCAGACAGTGGTGGCAGCGAACTGGATCGAACACATCTTGACTCACAAGCCCAACTTACGTGTAGATTATTATGACACAAGCACCGATGAGCCTTTTAGTGAGATGCCATTTGCGGGACTCGAGACTTCCTTCCCCAGCCGTTTCAGGCCTGACTACGCAATGGGAGGCTTTGGCGTAGACAGTCTGGAGAAATTATACGAGGGGTCATTAACGGCGGAAAAAGCAGGGGTCGGGGAGCAGCGTTAGGACACAGGGTCCCAATGAGCGATATTTCTATTTCTATTTCCCATCGCGGGTGAGTACAGATTTTGCCTTGTTCTTCCCCATAATCCCGCTAAGCACGGCTATGGACATTCAGACGGCTGTGACCCTAACTCGCGATTTTCCTTTCAAAGTTGTTATGGCTGCTGACCACCGATGCACTCTCTGATCACAAGATTCCACGTCGTATAATTCGTCCGCTTCAAGATATTTGATGTAATTTTACAAGACGAGTTGTTGACTGCGTTGTCGTCGCAGAAGCTGGCTGTCATCACGATGACTTTGGCGCAAGTGCGGGTCTTATTTTTCCCACGCAATACATGTCTGGCAGTGCCTGTTGCTGTTGGGAGTTGATTTCCAATGCCATCTTGGGTCGGGGGCAAGGTCTCTTGGCGTAACAGCGCGCAGGCAGCTTCACACAGGTACCGGGATTTTGGTTTGGGCAACACTTGGTGATGAAAGATAGGAGATGAGGATGGATGTCAAGAACAAGGCATACCTCTCATCATTTGCCATCTTCATTCCGGCTAAAACGGGGAATCCGAAGGCTCAGAATGTCCCAGCAACAAAGCGAGCTGCACACAATAGGAAAATGTGCGAGGAATCATTGATAGAACCTCAACGAGCAGCCAGGGATGATTTCATGTGACTGAAATGGCGTGGGATAGTTTGGTGGAATGCTCAAAGCGCCCTTGGGAGGACCGTCGCTCAAACGCTTTGGTAGCAACTATCCGTGCTTCAAGGATGGTCCCCTCCCTTAGGTGGTCTTTTGCGGCCCCAAATGTCTAATATCCATGCCCTCTGTGGTGGGAAGACTCCTCTGCTCTCCCCGAGAGTCGTTCATGCTCTCTCTTGCGTTTTGAACCGCATCATCTAGCCCCTGGGGATTTGGTTGGGCGCGGTGGTTCCCTCGGCGATCAAGCCCCGTAACTTAGGCGGTCACAATCCCTGAGATAGCGTTTGCAACATTGGCCTTTGTACAATCATTCACTTTTGTCATTTGAGAGCGATATGCGATCGTTGAGTGAAAACAGTGGATTAAGTTTCTGGTGACTATAAGAAAAAGGTTCCACTTCCACGGAATTGTACTTCCAAGATTTGCTTCCTTCCTATTCACTGGCGACCAAGTTATTTGGTGCTCTGACATTGGGCCCTTTTCAGGGTCACCAAATTGACGCCTGATGAAACGCTCTGCAAGCGGATCGCCGGAATATTCCCTATACCCTGGATCTTCATTCAAGATGCATGCTTTGGGAGCCTTTTGTTTATATGGACCGCTTACCGAGCTTTGTGATCATCTTAAAAACCCAGACCCACCACTGAGGCAACCCCCTGTCAACCTCAATTTCAACCAGCTTCGACATGTTTGGGCAATTTTTCGATTTCTTTCGAGGGACGGAGAACCCATTTATCTTCGGAGAAGACCTCAGCATGGCCAACCCTCCTCCATCGCCTGACACGTATGGGAGTTCATTGCTCAAAAACGACGGCTCGCTGAGTTAATTCTGGATGACACACAGTCTCCTTTTCCCAAAATACGAAGACATTATCATCCCAGAGCACTCAGAATAGTAAGCCAGAAGTCCTTGGTCGTCGTAGCCAACTCTTAAGTGCGTTACAACATCAGTCCGCCTACTCTTTGGGACTTCTATTCCGATATCATGTACGCAAGAAATGCCTTCATCTGCACAGAACCGTGTGCTAAATTTCGTTGCTGCCAGACTACCAGATGCACTATATGATAACACAGGGGATTCTCATTTATTCTTCCCACGGCGATGTCGATGGAACAAAACCAAGGTAGGAGGCTCTTGGGATGACAGTCACGGATCATCGTCAATGTTCTCCACCCCTTTAGGCAGTGGTTCCGGTCTGGTGCAAAGGACAGAGTACCTTGAAGACCATGATGCTGAGGGTGAGCCAGATCCCTGGTATGAGCCGTCATGCTCCGTGCCCGCGCCTATTCCGTTATCCCAAGGAACCCAAGGGACCCCAGTGACCTCCTATGGGCGCCCAGACGCGAACCCCCCAATTCCCTCCAGTTCGTCAACTCCTCCAGACAACACGCTGAACGGTCCTTCGCCAGATTTCTCTGACCTACCTTCCATTCCTCGAGCGCTATATGCCTATGGTGTTAAGAGAGATGCAAAATCTAAAAAGGCTATGGGAATAAGCTCAAATGATCGCCGGCCATGCCCATTATGCTCTGACGATTTCCATAAATCGAGATCAACGTCATCGTCGAAGGAGAACGATTGGTGGAGGCATCTCCAGCAGGCACACCTTAAGAACGACGCGATCTCATATATTGCGGAAGGTCATTGCATTGATATCATTGCCCTTCTATTCTTCACGACTCTCCGGGTTCGTTTTGAGGAGCATCATGACGAACGATGGTTCGAGCCGACTCGCGAAGAGCACAGCGAGATAAGGGCATTCTACTCGGTGTACGGCGAAGATCGAACGGATGGACCAATCATCAGCACGATCGAGGAAGGAAAGGAGCATTACCCCAGGTTGATGGCTCGACTTGAATCTTTCGCCCCTTCCTGGTGGGGCCATTTTATCTGTCCATCATGCGACGCTCCGATAGGACGCGATCGGGCCAAGGATCGCCACCCTCCCGGCCATTGTAACGGGAGCGGCGAAGCTCTGCCTCCTCCAGAATTCACGCCATGGCCGCTGCATCCTATGGCACTCGATGGACAGACTGCCAAACGCCCCCACCCCTCTCCCACCCTGGATGGTGATGATTACGCCCCTCGACGGAAGAAGCCGTGCAAGCGAAAGCGTGGAAATTGAACTTCAGCGTCACCGCAACATTAATTTCCCATTGCCGGGCAAGGATCTTTACCTGATAAAGTTAATGTTAGAATTCTTGGTATAATGGCGTACGCTATGACCAACTCACGTTTGGTGATGTTGAGTCGTGTGGCGTCTTAGATTTTCGCCAATTACCTTTCTTGGTGACACCCGTGCCAAAGTCAGTGCGCATTCATAGCGCCTGACTATAAAATCTTAATTTTTGGGCAACCCAACCTTTCCTCAGTTCACGTACAACGGGACTGAGGTGAGTTGGTTATATCTTGTTTGTCCTTTATATCTCATGTATTGAACACTCGTACACCAGCGACAACATCGCTAGGTGAATATTCTAATACATATTTAGTTCACGTACAACGGGACTGAGCGACAACATCGCTAGTCCATCATTTCGTCTTATAGTTAAGCATAGAGCGAAGTATTCTCTTGGGTTTCAGTTTTTCATAGCACTTCATACTTATTGCATACCAATGAGATCCGACGAACCACTCAATGTATAAATTTGTAGCGTTGGCGCTATCGAGTTGTCGTGCCAAGTGACAGGCTAAATAAGACAATGAAAACCATAGCCCGGCTTACTTTGGAACAACCCGGCAACGTATAGATGAATTAACTTATGCATCACGTACGAAGACCATGGGACGGGGTGTGATTTTTAGAAACAAAGGTGAATCGGACCTGATCCTCGGGCGATGCGATGACGGAAGGCGGCGTGACCATCTTTGCCCACCGTGACATCGATGTTGTTTCTGTACTTCCTGTCGCAATAGTCTTCTGCCTGGAAGCACCCGAACGAATGGTAAGAGACGAGCTCAGCTCGTTGCCTCCAAATGATATCAGGGGACCAAGGCTTGATGGTATCACGGCCCTAGTGACCAAGGAATTTCTTTCATCACAGAAAGAGAAAGCTTGTTACAGTTTTCAGCTCTTATTTATGAGTCTGAGGTAATCTATCAAGGTTGGAATTGCTGTACTTGTTCATTCATGTGGTGCGTGCCTATACAGCAATCTCTATCGTGAGCATCCATCGATCAGAATTTGGATTTGGGCGGAGGGAGTCGATGGTAAAGTTATCACTGAACGAACACACCCTCCAGCACGACCCATGATGTTGTTGGGGCCGTACTTCTTTGTGATGGTCCTCAGAGTGCTCCTATACATTCTTTCGAGTAGTGTATCATCGAAGCTATTGTTCGGATAGTAGGGAAGTGAATCGAGATCCTCCTTGGCAACCGCAGCGATGGAGGCAGCACTCGCATCCATTGCACCGATGAGAACAGTGTCTGAGACGCAGGAGGGCCATGCAAAGTACGTGTTAGTCATGTGGGTAGGCACTGGCGGTGGCAGGAAAGGTTCGACACTGTAAGAGATGAAGACACCTGCTTCTAGAAGGCAATTTGCGAGCCCTGTAGCTTCAATACGTCGGATATTAGAGAAATTGCTTGCCTTGGCCTCAGGGACGATCTTGTTCAGAACGTCCCTGTACACGAGCCGAGAATGAGGATGTAATAAGTTTTGGGGGTCCAGTTCAGATGCATGTTTGGACATAGGTTCTCACCGTCAACTTGCAGTGACATTGGCGGGAGTTTCTTTTAAGAAATCCAAGGATTCTTCGTCCCGACTGTATTCGAAAGATAGGGAAAAAACATCGAAGAGCCCAGATGGAGGTTAAGGACTACAGAATACATTCAATAATAATACTTGGACTCCAACCACAGTGCAAGTAGAGAGAATGTTGGCGTTTGGATCTGTATTTGTAGTGGCGAGAGCGTGAACCGCATACCAAACCACTATAAAAATTCACTCCGGCCTGACAGTAGATTACTGCCGAGTAGAGACGACAGAATATGCCCAGACTTGCGTTTGAGGGAATGTCCTCAAAGTAAACCGTGTCACAATGCCCTGCGGAATTCTATGAGATTGTTAAAGCCGCCCGCCCTATCAGCCAATAATCATTATTCACAGGGTTTAGACGGCTCGAATGTGCCACACCCTTCACTTGTAAACCGAAAAACAAGTCCGGGTAGCGATCATCTCTTGCCTTGACTAGTACGGTGCCATTCGCCAAGACGAGCTCAAATGCCACGATAGTGTTAACAGTGAGACCACAAAGATTGGTCGACCAGGAGTAGCATTCGGGGCACACCCATAAATAGGCCAGCTGAAATCCCGATATACGTGCTGCGTAAGATCGAATCGATCACGCCTCCACCAAGTGCCAAACCCGCAATACCAACGCCGGACACCCGAGCGCCCACTACATTTACCCCACAAGGAGCAAGGGCCGCATAAGATGATCCCGGTTTGGATGTCGACTGCTCTCCTGCGCATGATAGATGACTTTGTTGAAGCGAGTCATGATGGCAATCGAAACACCCGAGAACCTTAGGTCAGGTGAATGGCCACCCCCTGTTACATAACGAATCGCTCGTTCAATACTTGGCAACTTTGCGATTTAGGAACTCCGAAAGGCGTTGTCGAGTTCGAGAAAATTTCCATCAGTGGAATGGCAAGATAATTATGAGGACTATAACACCGTGCTTAGGTTGGGAACACACGACTTTAGCAACGCCCTATACAGTGCCAGGTTCGACAGAACATTCGAAATTCCGAGCTTGAAGACATGTAATGATCAGATAGTTGTCCGTGATATAAGCTATATCAGGGAAGCAGTACACGTTCGACGCGCTTGATATTGCATTTCAATAGCAGCACAAGTAAAATTGGACAGAAACCGAGCATCAGGTTGAGAACGCCGTCTGATGTCCGCAGCGTGGTGAAACTGCGCGTTAGTAGCGGCGGGGAGGAGAGAAGAGAAAAGACCAAGCAGCATCTCAGTGCCACGCCGTCTTCGGGCACCGTGACAAAGAGAATGGAGGATGGGACTGAAGCTGCAAATGGAACCTTGAATTTAACATCGAAGGTTTCAGACCACACTTGGTGCCTGCAGCCAGTTCTAAACGAGGCAAGCTATTCTTGCTACCGTAATCCCTCCGAGGCGCCATCGCGAGAACCAGTCGAGAAGATCGACGAGGTTCATTGAGTGCACCCTGCGTCATTTCCAAACCCCGCGCCATCAAGCTACATATGACCAAGAGATAATCGGCAACAAGGCACAGGTCTTAAGGTAGAGCCAGCAACACGAACTGTTGTGTCAATAGATTCTAGGCGAGTCATGTCTGATGTTGCCAAGCGCCTTGGCAAAGTATGTGTTCTGCGTCAAGTCATCCGAGTAAGTACGTAGCGGGGTAGGGTGCCGCCATCTTTGCCTTATCTAGGCGCTGTCAGATTTAAAAACATGCCTTTCGTTATCCGCAGCACTCGTTTGTTGATACTCTTTTCCACGGTGCTGCCATTTCCATGGTTATGTTATTAGGCAATGATTCCATCACATTCTGATATCCAGACAGAAACAGAATTTACGATTCAGTGGGCGTCGATCGTATATCCTCGACTGAAGCAGGTGAAATTATGGGAACTTTGTTGGAATACAAGTCATGATGCCGCTCCGGCAACAAGCACTCAGTCGCGACATCTCATACACCCCACCGCCTCTCCGACGCGTCGGTGCATCACCCAATCTGTAAAACACAGTAGTCAGCCGGAATGATAACTTGACTTTTTAGTTTTACCTTTGTCTTTCGTTATTGCGCGAGTGTAGCCGCCGAGCTACGTCCATATCGGGCCAGTCATAACAACTTCACGATTGGCGCCTGACATTTGTGTTCGACAGCTGGATGCTGTCAATTGAGTCGGGGTGTTTCCAAGTATGAAATTGTGACGATTCTTGAGCACGGCATGCCCTGGATACAGGAGCAGCCTCTATAGTATAGAGGATATAGGGAGCATGAAATGATTCGACCTCACGTGTGCAGTTTTGTCGTACATTACTTAACCGACTGTCTCGACATGACTGAAGTGCAGCTCCAAGCAGCCATCCAACCGGACTGGCAAGGGCGCTACTACCATATTGATCAAATACTCGACAGACCTGGTCCTCGGACTGACGAGTCATTCCCCGCTGGAGATGAGGTATGCATTTCGAACTTCTCGCCATTTCAGCTCCTGCCATGGGCTGTGTATGACTTCATGTTTAGATCAAAACTTTTCTTAGGGAGAATTGCAAGATCCTCGTCATCGGAGCAGGAGGACTTGGGTGTGAGATTTTGGCAAATTTAGCATTGTCAGGGTTCAAGGACATTCATGTCATCGACATGGATACGATCGACATTAGCAACCTGAACCGACAATTCTTGTTCAGGCGTGTCTATCAATTGCTTTAGTGTTTTTATTTTTATAATGATCAAGTTTTGCAGGCCGAAAGACGTCGGTCAGCCAAAAGCCACTGTGGCAGCTGCGTATGTCATGAATCGCGTACCGGGATGTAAAGTGACTCCGTGAGTGTTCGTCGATTCTCTGTGCCGCTGATATTAGCGTGAGTAATAACTTGGAATGAAGGTATTTTGGGAAGATACAGGACAAGGACGAAGATTATTACATGCAGTTCAACTTAGTAATATGTGGTCTTGACAGCGTCGAAGCTCGGCGTTGGATCAACGCCACCTTATTCAACATGGTTGACCCAGACGTCCCCGAAAGCCTCAAACCGCTGATTGATGGCGGAACAGAAGGCTTCAAGGGTCAGGCTCGTGTGATTCTCCCCACCGTTTCATCGTGTTACGAATGCAGTTTGGACATGTTAAACAAACCTACCGCTTTCCCCATTTGCACCATCGCGAATACCCCTCGGCTTCCTGAGCATTGTATAGAATGGGCCAGCGTGCTTGAGTGGCCGAAAGTTAAAGGAGGTGTGTGGTGTTCAGTCAAGTAGTCAATAACTTCTCTAGACATTTCGAATTTGGTCATTACAGACCTCAAGTTGGACACTGATGATCCCAATCATATAAATTGGCTCTACGAGATTGCCTCTGCGCGAGCAAGAGAGTTTAAGATTGAAGGTGTGACATGGTCCCTTACGCAGGGTGTTGTCAAGAACATCATCCCCGCCATCGCATCCACAAATGCAATTATTGCCGGTAAGATGGCTTACTTCCACCCCTTACAGCACACCGACAACGCCTTTGCGTAGCCTCTTGCTGTACTGAAGCTCTCAAGATTGCCACCAATTCCGCACCCTACCTCGACAACTATTTCATGCTAATCGGGACAGACGGCATATATTCCTACACATTTCAGCACGAGAAGAAGCCTGATTGCCCCGTTTGCGGCGGTGCCTCTAAACTGGCCAGCATTCCAAAAGATTTCACGGTCGAACAACTCATCGAGTGGCTCACCGAGAAACAAGATATGTGAGTAAAACTATCCAATCCCTGATCATTTATTCACCATTTCGTCGGTGGGATCGTTATCAGCCAAGCGAAAAGGCCATCCTTGTCATATGCAAACAGGCCTATCTACTTCCAAGCACCCCCTTCGCTCGAAGCATCGACAAGGCCCAACTTGGAAAAACCGGTGTCCGACATCGTGCCCTATGGACATGAGCTCACCGTTACATCTGCCACCCTCCCCTTTAATCTTACACTCAAGGTCGAGTATATCTGAGTCTCCTGTTCCGCATCTCTGTTTAATATGTAGAATACCTCCCATGTTGTAACCTCGGCTGTTTGACATGGTGGCAAGTCAACGAAACGATCGCACGATTACAAGGCGTAACACCAGTCTAACCTGACGGAATGCATCTTGTTAATGGGCCAAAGGGACGTAGTCAACTGTGGAGCATTGGATTGGGAACAACAACACTATTTTATGCATTTCATAAATCATAAGGGTATCGTAGACCCTGCGCAAACCGACACTAAACGAAACCAAAGCAAGGAATAAGGATGCATATGGATGAAAGAAAGGCCACGTTGATAAGATTCGTATATCAAGGGACTAGCCCTCTGTTTTCCGCTGGGGATAGATTTGCAGGGCAATCCATTATTAGGGAGCAAAATATAAACAATGGGTGTGGCGGTGTCTTGGAATGCCGAAGACGTGCAGCGACAGGGAAAGCAGGAGGGGTGGCGAAGTCGGGAGAGAGGGAGGTGATGTGGGTGTGGGTACGAACCCTTCAAATGCCTCATATAATTTGAAGGTAATCTAGAAGAGCTTAGTGAGCTCTGAATTCGACGCCGAGGAATCCAGAGGACTTACTTGATGGTGCAACTGAAAATGAATGTGAATGAATAAAAAGTTAGTCATCACCTGCAAGGAAAAAAAAAAGTGCTGTACTGACTCCCTCGGGACCCATCTGCTTTTCTTGATTGCCACCACTTCCCTGTGATTGGTGGATAAAGCGTCAAAATCAGTCGTATTTCAATTTCATGAACAGAGTACGCACCCGCGTTATCCAATATCTCCAGTATTTCACCTTTCGAAAATGAGATTTCGTTCGGGTCATCCGGCGAGGCAGTGTCTGATTGGGTGGCAACACATAAATCGTAGAAAGACACGACGCGAACAAAAACCACAACACGCACAGGCATATAGTGCCTTCGCCTTGTATGCATACGGTTCGGTCTCGCTACCTTGCTCCTGATTTGCAGGATTTGTAATGCTTCCTGCGCTTGTATCGCCCAATGGACCACCAGTTATTAACGGGGTCGTCTGATTTGCTCCCCCAGGCGTCCCAGACTCCTTGGACACGTTACCAGCGACCATACTGTTTGATCGTACACCATTCATAGGTGCGCCCAGTCCAACGGCAGTGTTGCCGACACCACCACCATATGAGCCGTAATTGTTTCCAATTCCACCGCCGAGAGTGTCAGATCTTACGGTCGTACGACGACGGTGTCGTCCAGGGGATGTGAGTCCACCAGTACCCAGATAGTTGAAAAGATGTAATTGTAACGAATCCTCCTCCGATGTGAAGAAAAGGCACCACAGAATCTACAGAGATGTTAGCACAACGGTGCGTTACCAGAGTGAAAAAAAAAAACCAGACATCTGCCATAGCAATGAGCATCCACCCTGCACCCGTGGCTTGGAGTGATGATACAGAAGCATAGATAGTAGTGTCAACAATAATGACAGCGAGTGCAATTGCAAGGGCGGAGAAGACCGCAATCTACGCGCAGGGACGAACTTGTGAGAGCGACAACATGATAACAAGCCATGCTAACCTGAAAACGGTGCATTGCGATCGAATCGGTTGCTATAGTATGCACGACTCCCGCAGTGAGGAATAGTTGCAGGCTGTGCCAGGAAAGGTTCGAGGTTGCAAGAATCAATGAGGTATTCACGTGTTATGAAAACAATTGGAGCATACAAGATAGCAAACCATGCTGGTCCGACAAACTTATGGCCATCTGAAGGGAGAAGCGAGGAGATCCAGTGAGTTGAACTGGCATTCATTCGAAAACGCTTTTTTCTTGCACTCACAATTAGCGGTTGCGACAGTCTGCCCGATGAACGCGGTAAACCATCCGACCTAGTATAATGATTGGTCCCAAGGAAAACAAGGCGCTAAGCATAGCCGTCCTCACCAAAGCCAGAATGAAAGTAAATTGGAGAATGTAGTGTGAGAATATAGGGCTAAAGTCATATCCTTGACTTCCCCGCGGAGGCATGTCGAATGTTACGCGCTTGCGATGGTCCCACTAGAAGGACTTTTGGGGGGTATATATATAGGTAGCCAACGAAGCCTTAGAGGAACTTGTCCTGGGGAGGAAGAAAGTCAAAAAGAGCAGTGAAGTTGGGAGTTCCGACCGCAAGCGCGTTCTGGAGATTGCGAGATTGTTGCTTCCGTGACGGCCCACTGCGGTTGGACCAAACAATCCACAACACGACCAAATTCGGCAAGCAACTTTGTGAGCTTTAGTGTACCCAAGCTATAGAGGATGTACAAGGATATTATCGGTAGGAGGGGGGGATGAAAAACTGTTGGTGGCACATGCTAGATATAAATGTCCAATAAATGTGTTTGAGTCCCGTGCATATTCCTCTAGATCTCCCATCACCCCACAAATCGGAATGTGTCTGAAACAATGTAATACTTTATATCGGCCGTGTTTCCAATCGCTGGAGGGATTTCGGGTTGCAGGAGGAAGGCTTGGGAGAAGACACGAGGAAGATCGTTGAAACTTCTGGCGTTCGAGTCAGCAGAACCATGGGAGACATTGCCGGTGACAGTGATGAAGAGCGATGGGGGTGTCGTTTCTGTGCTTGTTCCTACAGTAAAAGGGGTTAGACTCTAGGGTGGGTGGGCGATGACTCATTGAACAAACCAGGCACGGCATGACAATCGTAAGTGTGGATATCATGTTTCGTAGCAGGAAGTCCGCCCAAGAATTCAAGGAGTTTGTCATGCAGTATAAGATTTCCATTCCAGTGAAACGTAGATGTGGGCCGATAGAACTTTGGGATAGTCTAAACCATGGGTCCATTTGGTCGCCGGATCGTGAGGTAATTGTCGAGATAGGAGGCACATTACCTACCTCAACGCGCTTCTCTGAATCATAGGCAGAGTAAAATACGCGAACAAAGTTCACTGCTCCCCTATTCGCGATATCGGTCCTGGAAATGAGATCGTTCAAGTCATCAGTTTAGTTTGTGCATAAATGCAACGATCAATGCTCACTCGCTGCGCACAGGAGCTGCCATGTGTATAACTTCAGGCAAGGTGCGTCCTGATGGAGAAGGGGATCGTGGCCGCTTTCTAGGATTCGTGCTAGTGTCTGCCGTCGAGAATATTGGTTGGATCGACGCAGATGCTATTTGAATTGGGGCGGCCACAGTGAAAGTTGCTTCCGAAACCGCGGAACATGTTGCCTCATCTGCGATCTGTCATTCAGGCTAACTGTTATCAGAGGGGTCATGTCAGTCCTCGCCCCAGTTCGCTTCCATGGCTGACGTTCGTGATTGCATCGACAAAAATATTTCGTTCTAATTACAATTTCAAGAGGAGAGAAGAAGCGACCATGCACAGGATTCTGCAGAAGCGCGTTCGGCATTGGGATTTTCGATACGAATCAGTGTCAAGCATTGGCCTTACCAGCTGAAGAGATTCGACAGCTTCTTCGCTTCCTTTTCCATATCCTCTGCGGTTCGTGGTTGTTGCGAGTTTCTCGCGTCTACGGCCAGAGGTTGTGCTCGTCTCTCGGGCTTTGATTGCCCAATCATGGAAGCAAGTTCCTGTTCTGAGTACTCTATTGCTGGATATACCTGGATGCGAGAGTGTTCTTATTCATGATTCACTTGACATCAATGGGAATTGCTTGCCTCATCGTTCCTTCCGCCGAAATCGGTAAACTTCCTGGGGAGAATGTGGACATGAACGTGTGGAACAGTCTGTCCCGCGGCTGGCCCATCCTAACGTGCGTGTGAATATTCCGAACAAATAAAATTTCAGGCAAGTGCAATGGTCTCCACGCATACTGACCGTGGGTCCGGAATGGAAAGCCGACTTACCTGGACCGCAATCGTTAAAGACTCAGCATCGTACTCCCTTTCAACAACTTGGCCGACAGTGTTTGCTGTTAGGAAGATATCTGCGATCTCTTCTCCACTTAAATCTTTGAGGCGTGGGACGATTCGGTCGGGAACGACAAGAACATCTGCAGAGGTATCCCCCCGGGATAGTGTACCGAAAGTGATTAGCTACCCACCCCTCGGAATGACATCGTCCGTAAGGGAGTGCTCACGTCCTGGAACAATTGGATTAATGTTCACCATGGCAAAGGTCTTCGCACTCCGATAGAAGACCTATCGCAAATGAAGTCCGCGACTCGCAGCAAGAAAATATTAAAAATCAACCGCGTACCTGTTTCGTGACGTCAAATGAGGAGAATAGAACACGACCGCTCATCAGGCACAATTTGGATTCCTGGTCCCGGGAAATGGGGTCTCGACAGATCGCAGATGGCCACTTCGACATCAATAGCCATCAACAACCCATTGTTCCCAATTTCACGCCAGTAAGTCACCAGGATTGAAGATATGTAGAGCACGCATAGGGCCGACCAACTTCTCATGTAGTAACATCCTTCGTCACTGTTGTTTGCAGTGTGCTCAGGCTAATGCCCAAGACCAAAGGACGGAAGATTCCCTCCAGTGCTGGACGCCGACAGCAGGACGGGTTGAACGTAGGTTGACTGATAACTTAGCTTTGGCCTTTCTTGGCCATCCGTCTGTTGTCGCTAAACTTCATCTGAGCGGTGATGTAGGCTCAGCAAAAGAAGTCACCCGGGGGCGTCAGAAAAGATGCGGTATTGCCAGTATCTCGGGTCCCCATCGTCATCGCCATCGTTGTGGCAATCGCGTCGTTTGCAATGGTTGCATTTAGACTTCAGTTATTGAAGTCTCCTTGGCTTGATTCGCTCGCTTCTGCTATGCTACTGAACCGAATTGTTGCTGAACGCATGGTGCTGGATAGGCGGCCACCGTTTGAGGTTACTGAGTTGCCTGGTCGAGGAAAAGGGCTAGTAGCAACTCATCAAATCAAGGTAAGCGTTTATAAGCGAGTCTTCTACTTGCTTCTGTGATAAATCTCTCCATACCTTTACGCAGCAAGGGCAATTGATTATGACGGAGAAACCACTATTTATCCTCCCTAATGCAATCTCCTCTTCGCCTACCAAGCTCCTCAACGATGTCACCTCACAGCTCACACCTTTTGAGCATGCACAATATTTCAACCTCTCGTATCCCTCTCATGTCGTATCATCCCCTGATGAGGTGGCGCTTTCGATCTTCATGACGAATGCTATTGCGGCGGGTGAAGACGAAGCAGGGATTTTCCCAGTTACAGCTAGGTTGAATCATGGGTGTTCCAGGGCGTTCAATGTGGTGTACCATTGGAGGGAAGAGAAGCATGAGTTGGGTGCGTGGGCTGTATCGTGTGATGGGATAGCCACATTGATAAGGATCGAGACTATCAGTTGTCCATGCTTTGAGGGACATTGAACCGGGTGAGGTATGAGAACGAGCATGCTGCCATGTTTTCTCGTGCATTCCTTGATCCTGAACGATTATTTAGGAACTACTTACAACATACACCGACACAAAGAAACCGCGAGCGGTACGAAGGTGCGGACTCCTTATGTCGCGTTCAATTGTTGCGGTGTCTTATGCGTCCTTTTGCATATGCATATCACTGCGTCACACTTTGCAGAGAATATCTTTCCCAACATTATCATTTCCAGTGCAATTGCGCTGTTTGTTCTCTTCCCGACAATGAATCCCAAAAATCCGACGATAGACTCGTGCGCTATGCAGAAAATCGTCTTGCCCTTTCGTCGTGGGCTAGCGGAAGGATCGGAGGTGTAGATGCGATTAGGCTCGTTAAGGAGATATGGTCTATCGGTCAAGAAGAAGGGTATCTAAGCGAGTAGGTTACACATTTCATGGGATTGCTGGTCCTTTGATTCTCACGTTCATGTATTAATAATGCCCTTATTTTTTTCCCAGGAGAGGACAGTTAGCCCTGGATGCCGCCTACGTGTGCGCTGCGCATACGGAGTAAGTTCGCCAGTGTCGTTCTACGTGCAAGTACTGTGAATGACATGGCCTCGCTCGTCTTCCACAGTGTCGAAGCATTTAAAGCATGGATACGCCTCGCCATCAAGTGGACTGCGATTGAACTTGGGAGAGATGACGAAAAAGTAGCCGGGCTCAAGGCACTTTCGGATAGACCCGAGTCTCACCCAGAGTGGAATACGAGGCCTCATTTGATATTGCCTCTGTTACAGTAGGTACATACTGTATTTCATGACGGATTTTTTGCCTTATTTTTCGTGATCCCTGTGAGAGTTGTGTGAGCGGTCCGAAGCATGCGAGAACAGATGACCTTGCGGATGAGTAACTTGAATGACTAACCGACATTGATGAATCAGGCGGACCATGATATGTGACTCCGTCTAGCTCGGTCTTCATATGAATTCGGAGAAAGCCTAAATTTGCAAAAAGGCCGGGCCTTGTGGCGGTGCAGTCAATTCGATCCGGTCGTACGATGCTGAGGGACATTCACCTGTTTCCATTTCAACAGCGGCTGACTCTTCTCTCTCGACGCCCTTAAGCTTGTTGTGCTTTAGTGTATTTGTGGACTGTTCTACAACTGAGCTCCGTCTTAGCTCAGACTTTTGAAACTTTGACGCATTTATTCGTGCCACATCCAACACATTGTTTGAAATTTGCGACATCCTAGCTTGTTGCCTGCTCGACCGTCGTCACCGGCTTGTCTGGGTCATTTACCGAGACAGACACCTCCCATCATCATACCCCAGCGCTTTTTTTGTACTTATAGTCCCTGTCATCATTCAGTCTGGACTCGTTCGTCGTCTGGCCGCCGCCGCGACCAAAGTTGCATTCCAGCCTCGTCTTCTTTGCATGGCAGGCTATCCGGTGGCATCCCGCGTTACGTCTCTCTCTAGCCAGCATCCGCCAGCTGGCAGTCATCATTCGAGACAAAGGAGGGAAAGTTCTGGGAGCGGGAATTTTGTTGGATCGACGCAATTGCAGTTGGCTGCTCAGCGGTCGGCTGGTTCCTCAACCCTATTACCATCAAAATGGCGTTTCGAGGTTCTGTTCAGTAGTAACGCTAAAATGTTCTTCGCCAGTCCATTGGCAGCGCTTATCGTAGGTTTGGTCGGATATATTTTAGTGAGTGTCATTCAACGTGCCGACACAGATTTTTGTACTTAACTGTTACAGAGCATGGTTGCTTTATTGCTCACTGCCGCACTGCCTAGTGCTATAATATCTATGGCTATAAGTGGGCCTGAACGATATGCAGATGGCAGACGGGGGTCAAGGGGGTCCGAACGGTGGAGACAGGCAATCAATGAACAAGGCTCGCCTCTTGAGGACGTTGCTTCCGCGGAAGAAAGATATCATGACGACTCGATTTCCGCGGGTTCGGCTGCGTCTGGAAGACACAACACTGAATCTCGCTCCTCGAGTCCTTTCAAACTTGAGCCCAGCCATGATTTCGCGACACCCACACGCGTCTCATACGAAGGTGATGATCGTGACGCAACCCCGAAAGTCACATCTCGCCCTCAATCGTACGAGCGGACAATGACTGCGCCCCCTTATATGCTACATCACTTGATTGAGAGAGACGATGCTGGCCCCAGCACAATCGCAACCCGTCCCCCCATCACCCAGAGAACTTCTAGTCTGAGACGATCATTCAAGGGGTTCAAGGACGCTATGCGTCTTGGGACCAAGAGGCGATCCTCTGACATGGACGTCAATTTTCCAACCAGAAATACGGCTGCCTCTTCACCGTTCGCGACTGAGAACGAAGGTATTGGTGAAGCAGAATTGCATATCTCGCGTCCCTTGCCTTCACCGACGGAGTCGGCGCCCTCAATATGCTCATCTCAATCTCCTTCTGAATCCTCTTATTCAAGCTCCCTCAGCAATGGTCCCAACAAACTCCGAAAACCCTTCATCCAGCGCCTCGGCCGCTCTGCATCTCATAAATTGCCATCCCCGTCCTCCTCACCTCTACGTCCATCTTCCTCAAACAAACATCAGAAAACAAAACCTCCACCCCTCCGGACAACTTATACCTACACCTTCCTCCCGACGTCGGAAGACCCTTATGAAGAAGATGAAGGGGAGGAACAAATCGAACGCGATTCATGGTCAATCCCGTCTGCACATGCGTCCGAGAACTCCAATTCCTATCCCACGTCCCCACCTCGTCCCTCACGTTCCACGTCCCTCCCTCGTAGAAATACACCCCACCATCCTTCCCACGAACGTCGGCTCACTTCCGACCCTATACCCATCTTTACCCCTCTTTCTCCAAGTACAGTACCTCCTGCGCTGATAACTGTCGCTACGTCGAGGCAGGAAGCATTGCTTGCGCTTGAAGGGAAACGATGCGCAGATAAGCAGGCGAGAGATTTTTCGGCTGTTGGGTCGATCGGCGTCGCGCTTGGTACACCAACATCGGTGATGACGCAGGCGAAGGTGAAGGGGGAGAATGAACGACCTACGTCGGCGAATTCTACTACTAAGGGTAGTAGAGGAGCGAGCAGGTTTAAGTTTCTTCGTGGATCTTGGTCGTCTTCGCCTCCCAGAAGTCCGGGCGTCGCTGTTTCTCCTGTCACTGGTGGAAATGTCACAGACGATGACGAGGATGATATTAACCCAGACAGAGCCAATTCTGGCGTATCTGGGGGGGTAAGTTTGATGGCCGTTGTCGGTCAAGATGTGAATGTGGATGAGTTTGGAGTAGTGAGGAGCCCGAAAAGGAGTTCTGTGTCTGAAGTGAGGGAAGTTGGTAATAGGGAAGGTGTCAGCGAGGGTGTGATAGTTGAGGGTGCGGAGCACAATTCTCGAAAGCGTACGTTCTTTCGGTTGATTCCAGGGTCTGGGTCGAAACCCCCTGTCAGTGGATCGAGGAGGTCAAGGTCGTGGAAACGTTTCTCGTTTTCATGATACCATTCCTCACCAGGTCCCACACTCCTACTTTATCCTCCCCATCTACTTACCCGCCATTTTTGGTCGCTTATAAATCTTGCCGGCTCCATCTCATTGTCCAGCTTCTATTGAACCAATAACGAGAGTTATTAAAATTCACTTTATCAATGCTCGTTCCAAACCCCGCAAAGCACGACCTAACATTATTTCATCATTCAATATTCATTCATTCACGCATTATCGTTTGCATCCTCCTATCCCATCTTCACTCTACCTCTCTGGATTTTATCCACAGTCCAACAATTCACGCACGCCTTGCATGTTATATTACTCTTTCACGATATAATTAATGCCATCCATTGTAAAGCTCTAGAGTATCCAGCAGCCACACTTCAAATGGATCTAATTTGTTTGAGCATCTTAGGGATCCTGACTGATGTTTTGAGAAGCACTGAGAAAAGTTACCTTGCTTGCAAGGTCACTTCAAACGTCATAATTCGTGGGAATTTTTTTTTCGCACCATCCAATAATTGTTCCTGGTTTTCCCACTCTTGCCTGCACTACCACACGTGTCCTCTTTCCACATGACTGAGCCGCTGCTCTTCACATGCCTCTGATCAGCCCACAAGCGCTGTCCTACTTACTCTCTGATCTCCCTTCCCCTATCATATGGTTGAAGCACAAAGAACATGTACACTCACTGTTTTGCTATCTTTTTGTATCCATTGTCTCCTGGTGATGTTGAGCATGCCACTGGCATAACACAATCTTGATAATTTCTGACACTTCTTGAGTGGCTTCCATTCCAAGATGTCCCTATTGTTACAATGCCATCACCCCTCCTTCCTCCCCCATCCAATACAATTTGATCGTTTGTCAGAGACCGGCCAGATCAGGACCGCACTGGAGCCTCTTGTTAGACACTGATCCAGGGTCGGCACCGAGGGTCACCGTTGCGGGCCCCTTAGGCCGCGATGGCCATGATGCCTTGAACAAGGCCCGAGGGTAGGGCATTCGGCCTCAGCAACTCTAAAGGGAGTGCTGTGCCCCCTAGCTGTCTCTTGGCCCTCATTTCAGACTCACTGGGGTTGCCTTGTTGGGGTCAGGACTTAGGGGTTGTGGTCACATCAATATTAGAGCTAAAGTACTATAATGTAGTGTACAGGATATATATAGGAGGAAGGAATGAATGGAAGCGGACCCGGGCCGAAGGCCTTGGGTCCGGAAGCAAACATGAATAAGGAGCGGGGTTGGCCGCACAGCGGCCAGCAATGACCGAGGGTCAAAACAAACAATAACAGATAAATAAAGGAAGGAGCGTAGGGCCGCGATAGCAGTGATGGTATCGTAGCAGCGCTGGACTCGGAGTTGGGCCGGAGTCGGGCGTGGGAATGGTAGCGGCCCTATAGGGGCCAAGTGGGCGGGGTAGAGGAGTCGCACTGGGCATGGTGCCGGAGGCAGACTCAGGGCAGGGAGGTTGGTGTGACTGTGGGGAAGTCGGCCAGGTGCAGGGGAGCCTAGGGGCAAGCGGGGGAGTGAGCAGGGAGTCCTCAGGGAGGATAGGGCTGAGGTTGGGGCTCGCACTCATGCTCGTGTAGCGGGAATGGGCTTGGGTGGCATCGGGACAGGCAGCTAGCGGGCCGGAATGCATGGCTGTGACACCTCTTTGCCAAAAGGCTGATGTTGACTGACCACTCAATCAACTTGGATCCTGATATTTATACAGGTGCTAAGATGCCACTTTTACACTACTGTCATGACCCAGCATTCCCTGGAGTCAGACGACCTCCTCCCCGACCTTTTCCCATGCCTGAACACTCCCTGCACACTCTGCTCGCTGCCTGTCACCATCTAACCACTCTGTGAGGAAGGGATGGGTCTCAGGGTGGTGATGCATGCTGTGCACGCTTTCTTTATTCTTTGTTTATTCCTCTTTATTCTTGTTGTATACAATGTAAAAACAACTGTATTTACATATGTATGGCTCATAAAGGGTTCTTCACTCTTTACCCTCAACCTGCTTGTCGAATCATAAGCTCAATACAGCCTAGATCTCAACAGTCAGAGGACTGAGGAGTCACCCAGGTCAGAACCCCAACCAACCTTACACACTCCCTGCCACTTCTCAACATCTCCTCCTCTAATTGTCATTGAACAACTCAGCGGTGCAGAGCACCGTGACCTCTTGCTCCATGTTTTGCCACACCTTGTTATCTCACGGCGAAGGTCACGTTGACCTTCACTGTCTTAACCACATGCTTCTTTGTTTGTTTTTCTTCTTCTTTCTTCTGCCCGCAATCTCTGCGAGATCTGGCAACTTACTTTCTATTCAGTGTCAGGGCTCGGTCCTCGATCAGGGACAGCCCGACCTCAGGCCTAGGTGTGTGCGGTGTTCCAGGTGGTTGGGCGCTAGACCCGGTCCTTAGCTCCTCAAACTCACTGAAGGGACTAAGCGGGGATTGAGTTGTCATGTATTACAGAGGGTAACTACAACTTGCCTAAGCGGGGATTGAGTTGAGAAGAAGGGTAAGTTTCCCTATTCCCCGCTTGGCTACTATAAAAAGGAAGTGTACTGTACAGTTCATAACGTGACTCCGGGTAGAAGCCGAGCATGTTCCCGCAACTCGGAAAAGGTGTCACATGGGTTAAGGCGAGTTGCTCGCCTTAACCCACGTGATTTTTCCCGCGGGCTCACATGCGGGCTGAAGTTGTGAGAGGTATGTAGGAATGGGGAGGTCTGGGAAGGTGGTTCTGGGGTGTGGTTGGGTGCCCTGACAGCGGGGTCAGGGGCCGATCCCTGACATCACCCCCCCTCTATGCCACTTCGCCTCGAAGTGGCTGTGGTCCGTGGTTGGGGGGTTTCCTTTATCCTCCTTGGTCTGGGGGCTTCCGGGTGGGCCTGGTGGAATTCTTTCAGGAGGTCTGGGGAGTTCTCCAGGTTCTCTCTGGGGAGCCATTCATTTTCTGAGTTTGGCCAGCCAGAGAATTTGACGAAGTACCAGAGCCGTCCATACCGGTACCTGGAATCCAGGATTTTCTCCACTTCATACTCCTCTTCTCCATTCACGATGTCCGGGCCAGGGAGCGGGTCTGCATGGCGTTCGGAGATTCTGTCTGGGGCGTAGGGGTGGGTGTTTGAGACCGAGACTACCGGGTGAATTCCTCTTTGACGGGCCGTAAGCTGTAGCTTTACTGCTGCTGGGGATACCACCTTGACGATCTGGAAGGGGCCGATCCATCTGTGGTCAAGCTTCTTGGTTGGTCGGTCTGTCGTGTAGTTTTGAGTGTTGAGCCAGACTTTGTCCCCAACTTGGTAGACTGGTGCTGCCTTCCGGTTCCTGTCATAGTACCGTGCCATCTCTTCTGCTGCATGCTCTAGTGCTGCCTTTGCTTCCTCTTGCATCTTCATCATCCGAGAGGCAAAGTCATTAGCCCCTTTGACTTCAGACATGCGGGTCGGTTCGGTCCCCATGCGTGGGTGTTGCCCGGAGTCAAGCTCGAAGGGGGTGCGGTGGGTGGAAGAGTGGATGCGGTTGTTATAGGCGAACTCGGCAAGCGGCAGCCAGTCAGCCCAGTCATCTTGCCTGTGGTTGACGAACACCCGGAGGTAGGTTTCTATTTCCTGGTTGACACGCTCCGTCTGGCCGTCAGTCTGTGGGTGGTAGGCTGTTGAAGGGGCGAGCTTGATCCCTAAGAGGTCTGCTAGCTCCCTGGAGAAGCGGGAGACAAATGCGCTGCCTCGGTCGCTGAGCACTTCCTCTGGGAGGCCATGATGCCTCCAGACGTGTTCAAGGAAGAGCCGGGCCACGCCTGCTGAGTCTACCGTAGTGACTGTGGGGATTGCGTGAATGCGCTTTGAAAGTCGGTCTACCACTACCAGGATTGCGTTGTACCCCTTGGAGTCTGGGAGTTCTCCAATGGTGTCTACTGAAATCACCTGCCACCTGCGGGTGGGGACCTTGTTCGGGATGAGCTTCCCGACTTTCCGAGATGGGAATGTCTTCACTCTGTTGCAGGTGTCGCACCCCGAGACGTACTGTGCAACATACTGTGCCATCCGGGGCCACCAGTAGTTTCGGGAGACGAGCTCCACAGTCTTCCACCGCCCAGGGTGGCCTGTTGCCACCGAGTCATGGTGGAGTTGTACCAGGTCATGGCGGAGCTGTGGGTCTTTCGGGACATACACCCGGCCCCGGTGGAGGATCAGTTCCCCTTCCTTCTCCCATTCATCCGAGTGTAGGGTTCCCCTTTCCAGCTCTCTCATTGCCTTTACCACTCCCTCGTCATGCTCCTTCCCCCTGCGTATCCTGTCCAGGATGTCTGCCTCTTCTCCCTCCACTGTGACCCCCTCCATAGCTCTGACTTCAAACCAGCCTGGGTGTAGGAGGGTCATGTCCGTGTTGTCGTCCTTCCCTTTCGGGTGGTCCGGCCGACGTGAGAGGGCATCGGGCTTCCCCATGAGTTTCCCTGGTTTATGGACTAGCAGGAAGTGGAAGCGGGAGAGGTAGAGGGACCACCGTGCCTGACGCCGGTTTAGCCTCTGGGCTGAGCGGAAGTAGGAGAGGTTTCTGTGGTCGGTGTATATGTCGAACCTCTCAGGGGTGCCTTCAAGGAAATGGCGCCACTCCTCCAGGGCTCGGACTATGGCAAGCATCTCCTTGTCATAGATTTCGTAGTTCCTCTCTGCATCTGAGAAGCCCTTTGACATGAACGCCACCGGGTGGAATTCCCCATCTGTCTGGAGCTGGGAGAGTACTGCCCCTGTTGCGAAGTTGGAGGCATCACACTCCAGTCGGAACTGACCTGAGTCCGATGGGAAGGTGAGGACCGGTGCTGAGGTGACAGCCTCCTTCAGCCCGTCAAATGCTTCCTGTTCCTTTCTCCCCCAGGTCCACTGCTTTGACTTCCGGGTGAGTGTGTGAAGGGGCCGGGCCTTCTCGGAGAAGTCCTGGATGAAGCGGCGGTAGAAGTTGACGAACCCCAGGAAAGACTGGACCTCTTTGACCTTCGTGGGTGCTGGCCAGTCAGTCACTCCCTGAACCTTCACTGGGTCCATGGCAACGTGGTTCTCCGAGATGACAAGGCCCAGGTAGTTGATCTTCCGCTGCTCAAACTTGCATTTCTCCGGTTTGAGGAACAGCTTCCGGCCCCTCAGTGTGGATAGGACCTCCCGGACGACCTTCCGGTGCTCCTCCAGGGTGGGTGTGAACACCAGGATGTCGTCCATGTAGCAGATGACGACCCCTCGGTCTATGAAATCCCTGAGGATGTCATTCATCATGGTCTGGAAGGTGGCCGGGGAGTTGCACAGTCCGAAGAACATCACCATTGGCTCAAACAACCCTCGGTTGGTTGCAAAGGCTGCCTTCCACTCATCTCCCTCCTTGATGCGGACGTTGTTGAACCCCCACCGGAGG